AAACCTTGTTTATTTGGCCCGTGTTAGCCTTTGAGTTTGACATGCTTGCTCTATGGCATTCCTTCTCAGACTCCTTTATGGATGTTGCTTCTGTCATCCTTCCTTAGGATTCTGTTCTAGGTCCTCTGCTTTTTAAAATTATTAGTTTATTTCATCTCCTTCGTCTCCTATGACTGAAATTGTCCAAAAATTGTTTATTTTTATTTGTTAATCCTCATCTGAGTATACTCTTTCCATTGATTTTTAGAGAGAGTGGAAGGGAGGATGAATGGGAGAGAGAGAGAAACATCGATGTGAGAGACACATCAATTGGTTGCCTCCTGCACGCACCCAGGGCAGGGGATCGGACCTGCAACCCAGGTACATGCCCTTGATCAGGAATTGAACCTGTGACCGTTTGGTGAGCAGGCCGACACTCTAACTACACTGACTAGGGCAATATTGGTTTCTTTTTAAGTTCATAAGTCTCTGGATCAAGAGAAGCCATATCTTGACATAATGCAGATATTATCATGAGAAATTAAACTTTGACTCTGATGTCATGATTAGTTGAGACTTTTGGGTATCACTTTTTGTAGGGAGAGTGAGTGTATTTTTCATGCAAAAAAAGGATAAATGAATACTTAAGAAGTAGACTAATAAAAAAGTCATAATTTGTTTCACTCTCTATCCCAACTAAACGACCTCAGCAAATGACAAACCATCAACCAGTTGTTGTAGCCAGAAACCTAGAAATCATCCTCAAATCCATCTCCCTCGTCTTTTCCTTTGTGCACCAATGACCAATTCCATTAATTCTATCTGGAATGTTGCTCTGTACTCAATCTTCTCTTTTGCCACTTAAATCCAGGGCACCACCGTCCTCTTCCCCCCGGCCACTGCAGCAGTCTTCTCATTATCCTCCCTGCCTCTAGTGTTGCTAAACCCCAGTCCAGGCTCCAAGCTGCTAACAGAGTCACTTTTTAAGGCAATTCTGATCATGTCATGTTCCTGCTAAAACCCTTCTTGGGTTTCCCATTGCTCTTAGGAAAAAGTTCAAATATGAGAGTTCCCATTGCCTTCCAAGGCCCTTCACTTTAACCCTGACCACATCTCTGGTTTCATCTCTTAATAATCATTTCTGGCTTCTGTCTTACCCCTTTGTCTTCTCATCCTTTAGGTCACAGGTTAAGGTCACTTCCTTGAAAAGATTTTCTGTTCCCATAATTCAGTGTCTTGTACTTCCTCTATTACTCTACTTACCAAAATTGATTGTAATTATTTGTTAAAGCCTGTCTTCTCTTCATTTGTTGAAGTTCTGTGAAGGCCAGGACTATGTCTTTCTAAGTTCTAGATTCCTATTATCTAGAACAGAGCATGGCCACAATAAATGTTAAATAGTACTTAGTTTTTGAAAGTTTTCATGATGTAGGACCTATAGGTGGTAGTTGACACTAAATATATACATGAAATAACTTAGGGACATAGTATCTCTAGAAAGAGAGAACATGAAAAGTAGGAAAGACAATGATGGCCTGTCCAGACGGCTCAGTTGGTTGAACATTGTTTCATACACTGAAAGGTTGTAGGTTCAATTCCCGGTCAGGGCATATACCTGGGTTTTGGGTTGGATCCCCGGTTGGGGAAAGCAACGGATCGATATTACTCTCTCACATTGATGTTTCTCCACCCCCCTCCTCTCTCTCTAAGCATGTCCTCAGGTGAGGATTAAAAAATAATAATAAAATAAAAAAGAAAGACAATGATGATTAAGATGAAGAGATGAAGGGAAGCCTGGCTGATATGGCTCAGTGGTTGAGCATCAACCTATGAACCAGGAGATCATGGTTTGATTCCCAGTTAGGGCGTGTGCCCAGGTTGTGGGCTAGATCCCCAGTGTGGGTCATGCAGGAGGCAGCCAATCAATGATTCTCTCTCATCATTGATATTTCTATTGCTCTCTCTTCCTTCCTCTCTGAAATCAATAAAAATATATTTTTAAAAAAGAGATGAAGGGAAGGCTAAGGGGAAGAATGATTAATGAGTGGCCAGAGAAGTAGGAGGAATGTCAGAAGAGAAGGCAATAACAAGTCAAAGTGGAGAGAGCATCAGAAAATCGCAAGTATCCAACAGAGTCAGTCACAGCAAGAGGAGAGGATGTGGACTGAAAAGTGCCATTGGATTTAGTTACAGAGCAAGAAAGCTAATGTTTAAAAACAGCTGAGTGCATCATTTGTTAAGCTAATATACTTAAGAAGGTATTTCCAGGTGATGGGCACACGGTGTAATATACAGATCTGATAACATAGAAACCTGTACCTGAAACCTATATGTTCATGTTGACTAATGCCACCCCAGTAAATTTAATTTAAAAAAAAAGAATGCTTACTTATTACAGGGAACTGAAGTAGCAAAAGATTGGCTAGTAAGGAATAAAGAGAGCTCTGAAAATAAACACAGTAGAAGAAGCAGCTACTATCCCTAGGACTGAGATACACAGTACCCACGGAAGAAGCCCCACCAGAGCTGAGAAGCAAATCTTGTTGAAGGTACCAACTATGGCCTCCTAATGGCTAAGGGGAGAAGTCACTGGGATGCCACATCGGTGGAATTTGCTAGAAAAATGCCCTCAGTGCAGATGTTCATAGGGAAATGTCCCCCTGGAGCACTCTGAGACAAAACTGCTGGAAGAAGGAGACAGTGAAGCTGCCTGCCATGGTGCAGGAGCCAGGCCCGGAGGAGCTGCACGCACCGCAGGAGCCAGAAGCTCCCGTAGGGGCCTGTGAACCAGCACACCAGAGTCCTTTAGTGACAAAGAGGCCAACGGAAACATATTCACATGCCCCAGAGAAGGCGAGAAGGCTGAATCTGACGCTTGTAGGCCATACATTGATAACTGGCACACTGCCTGTGGTTTGCCTTTTCATTTTCTTAGCTGTGTCTTTTGCTGAGCAGTTTTAAATTTTGATGAAGTCCAATTCATCTTTTTTTTTTTCATTTAAGGTTAATGATTTTTGTGTCCACTCTTCGTCTAGCTTAAAAAAAGAAGGTATTTCCCCCTTGCTCCTCTTCACTAATTTCTCTATCTATTGGTCCAGCAGAGATTCACTGAACATCTCCTCTAGGCCAGGTACTGTGCTAAGCCCCAGGGAGACATCAGAAAGAGAACAAAGTCCACTTGGGCCGGTGGGGCTCACCACCCTTGCCTTCAAGGGAAAGTTACAAAGCACTGCCTTGTGCCCCAGTAAAGCCAGGGCTTGACACTTCATTGAAGTTGGTACTGATTGGCTCTCCGAACACATTCAATGATATAAAAGTTAGTGCGTTAAGTCCAGAGGTCAGGAAAACTTTACTATCTTGCTCTGAGCTGGCAGGAGGCAAAAGGGAAAGTATGTGTGGCACACTATTGCATCATTTCTGCCTGCTCATAAGTCAGTCACAGAGGAGAATCTGGGTTTTTCCAAGAAAACTAGTTTCATCTGCCCAAAGGCAGAAAACAGAGCAGTTCATTAAAAGAACGTCTCCTCAAAAACTCTCTGAAGTTGATCCTATTTAATATTCATTCTGCAGAGATTGTTAGCTTTCAACAATATGTTGTGTTACTGACTAAACTACTGCTCTACTGTTGTTGTTTTTCCCCTCTACCCTGTGTTCTAACTACTGGTAAAGGTGTGGTGTAGTGTTCAAAGGGTCAGTGAGTCGTGGCCTCCTGAAAATTAATGGGAGTCTGAACGGAGACAAGGGAGGGACACTTTCTAACTAATTAGAATTTTCTTACTACATTTTCACTTAATAAAAGGTGCATCTCATTTTACATAATAGACATTGTTTTGCAAAAATAAAGTTTAAATCAAAAAGTTTTTAAGGCACCCTTGTGAGAAGCCCAGGCCATCTAACTTTTAAAATAAAACTAAGCATTCTGTGAAATGTGAATAATCATTTTTAACTTATAATTAGGATTTTGAAATAAACCTTTTTTAAAAAACATATAGATTGGGTATGTAAGTGATGCAAATTTCTGCCCACAACAACCTCAATTAGACTTTAGCTTTTGGGGTCTGGCCTGATAAATTGGAACAACAGTAGAAAAATAAGCTCCATAGAGCTTCTGCTTGACAGAAATGTCCTCAAGGGACCCTGAGCTCAAGCCTGAACTTTTCCAATGCTTCCATCTCAAGTCCCCGAGGAACTGGGGTGAGTCTAACAAGGAGGGGGGGCGGGGGAGTAAATCCTCCTCCACTGGGGAGGGTGGGAATAACAAGTCATACTTGTTGAGTGCTTGCAAGGAGCCAGGCTCTTCCTCCAACTCCTGCCGTGTATCACTCAGTTAATCATCCTAACAACCTATGAAATAGTCATTACGACTATCTCTGATGAGAAACTGAGTCAGAGACGTTAACAGCAATTTGCCTGCTGTCATGCACTTACAAAGTGGTGGGACTGATACTTCGCTGGTGCCAGCCGATACAGGCTGTCGGTAATATGCCTCAGCTTTGCTTATGGATTAGACAAATGCAAATGAACACCATGACGACCGGCCACAGGCAGGGCCAGTCGGTAAAGCGGGTGGGTGACTTATAAAGGACTTCTGAGATAAGGACTAACTCTGTAAGGAAGGGTGTGTGAGAATCAAAGGTGAATTCCCAGTGCCTGTGGTTGGGAAGAGGTCCGCGGCCAATTCCTAGCGGGTCCAAACCGAGAACTTGAGCTTTTACTCTCCTGTCAGCGCCCCAAAGTCCGCAGGCCAAAGAACTGAGCCACAACCGGCCGCCAGCCACGTGGCCCAGCCCGGCAGCCAGGGGGCGGGGCTGTGGAGGTGGAGCCCGAGGGGCGGGGCTGGGACTCAAGGACGCGCAGGCCGGGCGGAGTGCGCCTGCGCGCGAGGTGG